TGGGCGAAAAAAGAAGGACGTCGGGGCGCAAATTTAAAACGCCACGACCGGCCGGCAGCAGGGGAAGTCGCCAAGACAAATGGAGGCTCCGCAAAAGAAGACCCTGCACCGACCGAGAAACTTCAGCCGGACACCCCCGAGAGTAAGAATACTTCCTCTCGAGGTTTTTCAAGCCTTAAAAATTTCAGGGGAGATTTCAAGGCCAAGAAAAAGCCTTCAGACATTATTCAGGCACCTGAAAAGTTGGGCAAACCACTCCGGAGCGTTGAAAATGGTCGTGCGTTCCAAGGAGTTAATATTCTCTCCCCGCAGCATAGTGTTAAGGCTCCCCATTGCCCACAGGTGAAGCCTACACAGCTGCAAAGGCTTAAGGGAAGGTTCCAGGCCAAGACAAATCTGAATCGGCCTCTGATAAATCCTTCTAACCCAACTCGGTTGAAAACAAACATGGAGTCAGCAGCTTCAAGCGCAGGACCGAGGGATGATCTGTTCGACGTACCCTACGATCCTATAAGCGAGACCATCTACGGTTACTCGGAGCAGCAACAACTACTTCTCGAGGTGATTTGCAATGGGCGATGCCTCCAGACACTGGTGGACAGTGGTGCAATCGCGAGGGCGTTGGAGAAAATTGGAGAACCTTTGGAAGAGACCAAGTTCACGGCAACGATGGTGGACGGTACGAAACTTCCAATCCACGGCAAAGCATCACTTCACCTGCACATAGGGGCGCTAGGGTGGAAGCCGACATTGCCAATTACTAACATCAAAGGTTTAGATTTCATCTTGGGGCGAGATTTCCTGAAGCAGTTCAACCCGAGATCGAATAGGTCAACAGGAAGGTGTGCATCTACAACAACGGGAAACGAGTGGAGCTGCAAAGCTAGACAGATACAGGGAATGTTCCTAAAACGACACTAGCACAGTTCAAACAGACGGTGAACGAGAGCAACACGGGTTACTTAGCACTAGTTATGGCAGTAGTAAAGGAGGAGAAGCCAAGTTCGAAGCGACCTGCAGTAGTGAAGGAGGTCTTGGAGCAGTACAAGGATATAATGCCCGATGACCTACCCGCAGGCGTACCTTCAGCACGCACCCACGAGCATGAGATCGTGGAGGAATTGACGAGAAGTGAGAATGGAATGAATGAACTATGAAACAGTTGGGTACAAGTACTAACCCTAATTGGGTTGTACCCCTTATGGGCTACCCCACTACAGCCTACACAAATGTATAAACTATAATGTTCTGACAAACCCCCATAGGCAAAGTGGGGGAGAGCAAGTGGTCACAAGACCAGTCAAGCAAAGCAAAGCAAAGCAAGCTCAGAGTGGATCACAAACTCACCACACAGTTCGAGCACAAGAGTAAGGCCACAAGGCTAGTTCAGATGCAAGGTCATATATATAAAGGTAAAACAAGCAAGGGTAGGTATAGAAAGAACACAGTACAAACAAGATCAAGAAGTGAGCAAGTGAGGCCAGGTAGGCACAAGACCTAGCACAGTACAGAAGCGCTGATGATCACAAGGCGGAAGGGCCTTGGTGAAGATATCAGCAGTGTTTGCCTCAGAGGCCACATAGGTGAGGCAGAGCTGACCACGCTGCTGCAGCTCACGAGACGGGAAGTAGCGGAGTGCAATGTGCTTCGTTCTGTGCTCCAGTCTGTGCTCTCGCCACAAGGCCAGCATGGCCTTGTTGTCTATGTACAGAACAGGAGGAGAACGAGGCGGCTCTCCTAGGTCAGTCAGCAGGTAGGTGAGCCAGCGTAGCTCGTGTGCAGCCATGGCCCCAACGTAGATCTCAGCCTCACAGCTGGAGCCGAGAATAGAGGACGAGCGGGTAGACCGCCACGAAACAGAGTCGGAGCCAAGGCTGAAGGTGTAACCCTGTGATGACTGCTGCGTAGCCTGGTCGACAGCCCAAGAAGCGTCAGCGTGACCTGTGAGGACTACTCGACGTCGCCCTCCAAGCACTAGCCCCATGCCCGACGTACTTGCACACGTAGCGCAACACCCTCTTTGCTGCAGCCATGTGCTCTGGTCGGTGTCTCCCAGGAGCAACATAGCGTGCGAGAATGCTAAGAGGGTATGCAAGGTCAGGTCGTGTGCAGGTCATCAGGTACATGAGGCAGCCAACAAGCTCTGGGTACGGGTCACTCGACTCTACGGACTCATCCGAAGGCAGAGCTGAGAGCGAGTGGCGAGTAGACAGAGGAGTGGCCTGAGGCGAGGAGTACGTGAAGCCGAAGCGCTGAAGGACCTGCTGCACCATGTGTGACTAAGTCAGGTTAATGGTGCGCTGTGCTCTGTCCCGGGTGATCTGCAAGCTAAGGTAGCTGCGCAGTTCACCCAGGTCTGTGCACGTGTGTCTCTTCTGCAGCCTCCGACTTCACGTGGGCGAGTCCAGCAGTGTCAGCAGTGGCAAAGACCAAGTCATCGACGTACACAAGGATGTAGACCGGCGGCAAAGAAGTGTCGGTGCGTAGAAATAGCGACGGGTCGGCTGTAGAAGGAGCAAACCCAAGAGCCGCAAGTGTAGTCCTCAGTATGTCATGCCACTCACGGGGCGCCTGGCGGAGACCGTAGATTGGCCGCTGGAGGCTCCACTGGGTACCAGGAGGAAACGACCCAGTGAAGCCAGGAGGGCGGCGCAGCGAGATCTCCTCGTGCAGGCTGCCCTGCAGGAAAGCTATGCTGAAGTCAAGAGAGTGAAGCTCGTAGTCGCGCTGAGCGGCTATGTGCAGTAGCACCCAAAGAAGTGGTCATCTTCGGGGTGGGAGAGAAGGTCTGAAAGTAGTCAACTCCCTGCCGCTGACTGAAGCCTCGAGCCACGTAACGCGCCTTGAAGAGAGGCGGAGAGCCCAGCGGACCGCTTCACACTGAAAATCCACATGCCACTGACGATGTTCGCCCCAGGTGGGGGAACCTCGTCGACGTAGGTGCCTGTGGAATTCTAGGAAGCCATCTCTGCGTCCATGGCCGACTGCCACTAAGAGGAGTAGGGACCCTTGATCACCTCAGCGTACGATCGAGGAGTCGAGATGTCTGGTGCATCCGAGTCTCCCTTAGGGGCAATCAGCGTGGACACGACATGGGGCAAAGCAGCCGCAAAGCACTGGAACTCCTTCTGCATGTCCTCAAGAACGTCCGCCCTAAGAGCACACTCACCCTCAACGGACGGAGGACAGACAGACTCTGAGTCAGCAACGAGACTGGCAGCGTAGTCTAGACGACTGCGAGCAGCGAATTCGACAAGCTCAGCAACTAGAGCAGACGCAGCAGTGGACTCAAAGGAAGGGTCAGTGACAAGAGTAGCAAGAAGGCACGTGACCGAAGGACTAGCAGCACGAAGGGACTCAGACTCCGGGTCAGCAAGAGAAGGAAGAGAGGACTCTGCAGGAGACGGCAACGGGACACGCAGAGGAGCAGTGGAAGGACGAAGTGCCATCTTGTGTGTGTCGGGGACCGCAGGAGGACGTGGATGTGCACTACGATGACTAGTGCGAGCAGCACGAACAGGCGACGCAAGACGAGACGCGGGCTCACGACGCTCAGCAAGACCTCCAGTAGGACCAGTGTAGGGAGAAGGAGCAGGTAGAAGGGAGGCGGGCTGTAACTGTGACAGTGACTAGACAGGCTGTAGACACTCTAAGGGTGGAGTCGGACCAGGAGAGGGCGGGAGACCAAGAACCTGCTCGAGGAGCGGAACGATGAATGGCCTTGGCCGCGCAGCGCCTCTAGAACCAGCAAGGACAGCACCAGTACCCCTAGCGGCAGCACCAGCGCCAGCAGCACCTCCAGCTCCACTAGCGCCAACTCTAGCACCCTCAGAAGCACCAGTGCCAGCAGCACCGCCAGCGCCAACACCCCCAGCAGCTCCAGCTCCAGCAGCACCAAATCCAGTAGAAACGCCAGCACCAGCAGCCTTAGCAGCACCCTCAGTCGCACCAGCACCAGTAGAAAATCCAGCTCCAACACCCCGAGCAGGTCCATCTCCAGCACCACCAGCATCGACAGCAGCTCCAGTAGCTCAAGCAGCACCCCCTGACATTGCAGCATGTCTCCAGCGGCGGGGCGAACCACTCGCGCAGCTTCTGTGGAAAGAGCGGCTCCCGCCTCGACGAAGCACCGCCGGTGGCCACACGAGCAGACCCAGCACCCCCAGGCTCCGCATCCCCAGACTGAGCACCCCAGGCTCTGCACCCCTAGGCTCAGCACCCCCAGACTAAGCCCCCCCAGGACCTAGCACCCCCAGACTAGGCACCTGCAGGCTCAGCACCTCTAGAAGCACCAGAGTCAACAGCTACCTCGGCACGCTCGATTGCATCTACCTGGGACACACCTGACGGGGCAGGACCCTGAGGGGGGAGGGGGTCTACCTGGGTAGCACCTGGCGCAAGGAAGAGCGGCGGCGGGGGGAGGGGCGCAGTGCGGTAGGGGAAGAGACGGTAGTAAGGCAACCGACTCGTCAAAGGTGACGTCCTGGGAGGACAGAACACGGCGCGGAGGTGGGGTGGTAAAACTGCCAGCCATGCGCGTCGGGGGGGAAGCCAAGGAAGACGCAAGGAACAGCACGGGGGGACAGCTTGTCCGCAGACAAGTCGTGGACAAACGTCAGAGATCCCCAGACCCGAAACGCAGATGCATCGCCAACCTTCCTTGTCCATCGTAAGGCGGGGGAGGTCTCTTGCAAGGAGACCCCGGGGCTGAAGGTTGAGCTGATCGCGGCGTACTGATCTGCAAACGGCCACAGAAAATGGGGGGCAGCCGCATGCATCGTGGACGTATGAGCGACGTCCATGACCATGCTTATGCGGCGCTCAGCAATCCCATTTTGCTGTGGAGAGGCCGGAAGCGTGAAGGTCTGGCCGATGCCCTCTGCACGATAGAAGGCTCCTAGACGGGCAGAGGAAAACTCCTCGCCCGTGTCCAAGTGTAGACACAGAACAGGAAAGTCCGAGCCGAAACTCTCTCTGAGCTGAAGACGAGCTGCGCGAATTCAGTCAATCAACACCTCTGTGACGTCACCCTTGCTGCGCAAGTGGAAGACTGTGGTGTAACGCGAGTAGTCGTCAACGACCAGCAGAAAGTACCGCTCTCTCCCCTGCCCACTGACGCGGGCTGGGCCCCACATGTCCATGTGTAGAGTCTGCAGCAGAGCCTCTGTCAAAGGAAACTCGGAGGAGTGAGGGGCGGCGCGCTGTCGCCCCTCGACGCAGGGGACGCAGGTAGGGCCAGGCTTCGGAGGAAGGGGAGGGAGAGACCGAGGAAGACAAGAGACAAGGACACGGGAGGCCATGCCTCGGAGACGAGGCAAGGAGGGGTGACCAAGGCGGTGGTGCCAAAGGAGAGTCTGGTGGGACACCAGACGACACGAGCAGGGGGCAGATTTAGGACCAGACCTGGATGCCGCAGCAAACACCTGAATCGACGCAGCTACCTGGGCAGACTCAGAAGTAGGAGGAGACTCAGTAGTAAGGGTGTACAGGCTCGACCCTGGCCTACGGGTGAACGAGGCCAAGTGTCGGCCTGTCCGAGCACACGTGCAGTGGGTCACTCGCTGACTCGGAGGAGTGAACTGGTCAACCCCTTGATCGTGTAGGTCTGCTCCACTCACCAAGTTTGTAGAGAACGAGGGGAGGTAGAGACCAGACAGGGTGCCAGAGAGGGCTGCAGGGCACGGAAGGACAGTGGAGAAGCTAGCAAGGACAGGACCCCCAGAGGGGTCTGCAAGGGAGAGTGCAACCGGCCGACTCAGCGGCGTAAGAGTGGTGCGGTCTCGAAAGAAGGAGCGGGACGCACCCGAGTCCAGGGTGAAGGTGTGGAAGGCCTGAGCCGACGTAGTACCTAAGAGAGCAGACTCAACAGCACCTGGGGCGGTAGACGCATTGGCACCTGGGGCTGTAGAGGCACTAGCACCTAGAGCAGCAGCCTCACCAAGAACTAGCGCAGCAGCCTCAATGCCCGGGTCAGGCGGTACACACAGGTAATAGGCACCCTCAACACTATCAGCAACTGCATACATGGCAGCAAGAATAGCATCAAAGTCAAGATCAAAGATAGCAACCCCGGCCTTAGCCAGATCTCCCCAGCGAGGGATCTCTGACGCCTTAGGGAACTGGCGACGCCACGCGTCTGTGAGGCGACCAAAGCGGCGCCGGGTGGAGTGTGGGCCTCCGCACTGCTCACCAGTGCGGTCGCCGGTATGAAGAACGTAAGTGCAAGGACCAAAGCCCCCACCGCGCTGGCGTGAAGTGTACCAGTCTCGAAGCTGCTGAGGGGACAGGGTCACACCACTCCGCTGCTGCTGGTGGCGCTGACCACCACCGGCGCCACTCCTTTGCGCAGAGTCGCGACTCGCTCCACCACCGCCGCTCCGCCGCCGCCACCTCCGCTGCCGCCGCGTCCGCCGCCGCCGCCTCCGCCGCCGCCGCGTCCGCCGCCGCCGCCTTCCCCGCCGCTGCCTCCGCCGCCTCCGCCGCCTCCTCCACCTCCGCCTCCTCCACCACCTCCGCCGCCTCCGCTCCCTCCGCCACCTCCACTGCCTCCGCCGCCTCCACTGCTGCCGCCGCCGCCGCCACCCCTGGCACCACTCTCACCACCACTCCCACTCCCTCCACCGCCTCCACCACCACCTCCACCGCCCCCTCGAGCTCCTCGAGTGCCCTTGCCCCCCTTGCCCTTGCCGGTGCGGCGTCTCCCGCTCGGGGCAGACGCAGCGCCGACCGACTCAAAACCAACAGGGTCACCCGCTGCAGCAGAGGCAATAGAGGGCAAGAGGGGGGAGGGAGAACACTCCTCAAAGACAGGGGTGCGAGGGTCACCACGAGAGGCTCCTATAGTGACTATGCTCTTCTCTATCGCTAGGAGGGCCTTCTTGAGGAGGTCAACGGTGAGAGTGGTGGGGCAAACCGAGAGGAAGTGGTCCCTGACTACCCGAAGAGAGTCAGGGAGCCGGGTGACTATGTAGTAGAGGGTGATGTACATGGGGGGTGGGGTTCTTGGCGCAGAACTCAGCAGGAAGCGCAGCGCGGTAGCGAGTGTCACTAGTGCGGAGGTGCGTTATAAGGTCAGCGACTGTGGGAAAGGCAGCAAGGTTAGGGAAGAGGTACGGTAGCATGAGGCGGCTCAGTGCAGCAGTAGCAGGGGAAGAGTAGCGTGCAACGAAAGCGTCGTACAAGGTGTGAGCACTCTTGTACTGGCTAAAGTGTGCACGCTCTGTGGTCGGCAAGTGGCGGCGCACAGCAAGGCGAGCAGCAGCGTCATGTGTGGCCCACTGTGAGCAAACAGTGGCGTGAGCATCAGCAGCAGGGGCGGGAGAGGCACCAGAAGTGAGGTCAAACAGGGAGAGGCCGTCTGCCCTATCACCCTGCAGGAAAAGCTGCAGATCATCTACCCAGACCTCAAAGTCCACTGCCCGACCCTCAGCGTCAAAGGTGAGAACGCTAGGGGAAGCCATAAAAGCAGTAGGCAGGGCAGTGCAGTGGCAGAGACTGTGCTCTTACTAGCTAGGTGGGGCGATTGGGCTGCTCGGCGGCTCGGCTGGTGGGCGGCTTGGCTGCACGGTGCTTGGCAACTCGGCTGTCGGGCGGCTCGGCTGCTGGGCGGCTCGGCTGCTGGGCGGCTCGGTTGCTGGGCGGCTCGGGCGGTCGGGCGGCTCAGCTGGCCTGCGGTTTGGCTGCTCGGCGCTGCGGGCGCTAGGCGGCGGGGTCGTAGGTGGTGGCGAGGTCGCATGTGGCTGCGGGGCCTAAGGTGGCGGTGGGCTGCAAGGGTTGGCGGGGCCGCGGTGGCGACGGGGCCAAAGTGGGCGACGTAGCGGGGCCGCGACGGGGCCGTAGCGGGGCCTAAGCGGGGCCGTAGCAGGGCCGACGGGGCCGAAGCGAGGCCTAAGTGGGGCCGTAGCGGGGCCGTAGCGGGGCCTAAGCGAGGCCGACGGGGCCGAAGCGGGGCCTAAGCGGGGCCGTAGCGGGGGTCGTAGCGGGGCCTAAGCGGGGCCATAGTGGGGCCGAAGCGGGGCCTAAGCGGGGCCGTAGCGGGGCCGTAGCGGGGCCTAAGCGGGGCCGTAGCGGGGCCGACTGGGCCAAAGTGGGGCCGTAGCGGGGCCGACGGGGCCGTAGCGGGGCCTAAGTGGGGTCGACGGGGCCGAAGCGGGGCCTAAGCGGGGCCGTAGCGGGGCCGACGGGGCCGTAGCGGGGCCGTAGCGGGGCCTAAGCGGGGCCGACGGGGCTGTAGCCGGGCCTAAGCGGGGCCGTAGCGGGGCCGACGGAGCCGAAGTGGGGCCGTAGCGGGGCCGACGGGGCCGTAGCGGGGTCGTAGCGGGGCCGTAGCGGGGCCTAAGCGGGGCCGACGGGGCTGAAGCGGGGCCTAAGCGGGGCCGTAGCGGGGCCGACGGGGCCTAAGCAGGGCCGTAGCGGGGCCGCGACGGGGCCGTAAGCGGGCTAAGCAAGGCCGTAGAGGGCGGCTCGAGGGGCAGTAAGGGCGGCCAACAGGGGCCACTAAGGCGGCTCGAGGCGCTACTCGGGTTAGGAGCTAAGCGCGCTCCAGGCAAGGAAGGAAAAAAAAGTTCGTGGTGGGCCCTAGGCAGTAATCCCACTCGGGAACCTGCTCGATACCATGACGAGAAGTGAGAATGGAATGAATGAACTATGAAACAGTTGGGTACAAGTACTAACCCTAATTGGGTTGTACCCCTTATGGGCTACCCCACTACAGCCTACACAAATGTATAAGCTATAATGTTCTGTTTGGAGCCAGGTGCAAAACCTGTCTCACGTGCACCACACCGACTGGGTTCGACAGAACTAATAGACATGAAGAAGCAGATAGAGTATCTACTGGACAGACAACTGATCCGCCCATCCACCTGTCCCTACGGTGCACCCTCTTCACTCCAAAACTAGACGGCGGTTTACGAATGTGCATCAACTACCGCGCACTGAACAAACAGACAGTTAAAAACAAATATCCCATAACGTGCATAGACAACCTACTGGACCAACAACGTGGTGCAACAGTCTTTTTGAAGCTGCACCTACAGTCGGGTTACTGGCAGATCAAGATGGCGGACAACTCGATATACAAGACGGCGTTCAGTACCAGATACGGCTCTTACGAATACTTAGTGATGCCGTTCGGACTCTGCAACGCACCAGCGACGTTTCCGGCGGAGATGAGCCAGATCCTATGGCCCCTGCTGGACGAGTGCATGGTGGTGTACCTGGACGACATTCTCATCTACTCCAAGAACATGAAGGAGCACGTGGAACATCTACGGAAGGTGTTCTTGCGGAAGAACAAATTCTACGTGAAGCTGTCAAAGAGCGACTTTGCCCTGAAGAAGGTGCAATTTCTCGGGCACATGGTGAGTGCCGAGGGCGTACACGTGGACCCGCGGAAGATCGAAGCAATCAAGAAGTGAAAAGTACCAGAGAATGTGAAGAAGTTGAAGCAGTTCCTTGGCTTTGCCAGCTACTACAACAGGTTCGTGCCACATTACGCTCAGGTAGCAGCGCCACTAACCGACCTACTGAAAATGGATACGCCCTACAAATAGGATACTTCTCATTAGCAAGCCATGGAGCAGCTACAGATAGCACTAACTACAGTGCCAGTAATCATCCTACTGGACCTAGACAAGGACTATGTGGTGGAAGCAGACGCTAGTGACCAAGTAGTCGGAGCAGTACTGATGCACGATCACGGACGCGGTTTGCAGCCCATCGCCTACCTCAATAAGAAGCTACACGGAGCAGAACTGAATTATCCCATCCATGATAAGGAAGCCTTGGCGATAGTCATAGCGTTCAAGGCGTGGAGGTGTTACCTAGAGGGAGCCAAGACTACAGTCTATATTGACCACTGCAGTCTTAAATACCCTAAGTCGCAGCCGACACTCTCTCGACGACACATGCAGTTGGTGGATGACCGACACACAGGTGACACCAGTAACATTCCGCTTGCGCATACCTACTACATGGAAGCTTCACAACACTTTCCATGTTCAGCTACTAAAACCCTACAAGGACCCCAACCAACAGTTCCAGGGACGGCAGCTACCGCCACCACCACCTGTTCTCATACAGGATGAACCCGAGTACGAAGTGGAGCACGTTTTCACTCATCGGCGCCGCGGTGGCAGGACCCTCGAGTTCCTGATCCGCTGGAAGGGATACGACCCCACTAAGGACATTTGGGTTGTAGAAGCTGATATGGGCAACACACGCCGTGCTCCCAAGGACTATCTTGTCAAGCAGGGTGTATCTCACGCCACACAGCTTTGAGGGGGGGACGTGTGAGAGTACGACGGCTTATGGGAGCTATGTTTGCTTGCCTAGACTTTGTTATGCTATTTCTAGTATGGGTTTAGTTTATGCATGCATGATTTTCTTGATTTCCTAGGCTAGGTGCTTTCCTATATTTTATTATAGTTATAGCATCGAGCTAGGTTGCGTGCACCGAATTTTGGGCTTTTCGGTTGCCACCAAATTGCCTTCTACCGAATTTGGGAAGGATCTGTCTGGGACGCTTCGCAACCCTCGGAACCTTCGCGTAACACCTGGTTACTGGGCCTTGTGTCACGCCTATATATAGCCTCGTGTTGTACCCAGGTGATCATTCAATTCAAACTCTCTTTTCTGAGCTCGATCCTAGATCCTCACAGTTTGGGTCTGAGTCGAGGCCATTGATCTCGCTCGGTTTGTCTCGTAGCGGTTACCCTGTGTTTGATATGTCTATGGATGCTGCTTATTCTGTCACGTATAGATTTCTTGGCTTGCGTATACCTTGTTTATATCCTTTGCCTACTACTAGTGTAGGTACTTGTGCTTTTAGTGTAGGTGCTTGTGTAGTCACTAGTCCACCCGTGACGATTGCTGTCACATCCCTCTCCTTCACGCTGGACTCAGGCGTGTCTCGGTTTCTCTTTCGCGACCACACCACTGTCACACCTCTTTCGGCTCTGGTCCGAGTTGCCCTAGCTGATCCTACTTCAAGAGCAGCAGTCGCTCGCAGCTCGACCCTCTCCTGTGCCCGCCTGTCCCTTCTGTTTCCTCACTGGTCTCTACATCCCCTCGTCCTCTTGGAACTTGGTGGGTGTTGGATACCTTCAGGACCGTAGAATCACAGTTTCTTTTCTTACATACGGGAGGACGACGATCTGTACGGACGCTTCCACTGGGGCACTTCTTGCCACGTTCATCAAGGAGCCCCACTCAGGTCTCTTCGTTCTGCACATTGCGTCCCACTAGGTAGTAGAGTCCGGTCAGGTTTACGCGTCCCTCCAGGTAGCCGAGTCTGGTCAGGCTCCTGCGTCCCCACGGGTTGCTGTGTCGGTCTAGTTGCTGCGTTATGATCTTGCTATTCAATCTTTCACCCGACAGTCTTGTGGCACTACCACCTTGGTCACTCGTCCATCCCAAGCCTCCGCAACATGGCTAGCCAGTGTCTTGTCGCAGGTCTTCCGCGTGTCTTTGCCTCATTCCCTTGTTCGCTTGCGCTGCCTTGCAATCCTTGCGTCGAGGGTCGGCTGCGCGCCACTCCTCACTCCTCCCTTCGTCCAGCCATCGCTCCCTTCCAGACCCTCCACTTGGACATCTGGGGCACAGCCGCTCGTGCTGGGCCCGAGCGGGAGCACTTCTTTCTCGTGGTCCTTGACGACTCTTCCAGGTACACCACGTTGTTTCCTCTTGCGAAGAAGTTTGAGGTAACTTCTACACTGATCTGGTGGTTCCTGGCCACTGAGGGCACTCGTGGTAGTTGTGTCAATTGTCCCCACTCCGAACATAGTTCCGCTCCGGCGTACTTGCTAGGTTCTGCGGCGAGCAGGGCATCACACTGCTGTGGACGCTACCTGAAGCCCCACAGCAGAATGGGCTTGGTCATGAATATCGCCCGCACCTCCATGATCCATGCCCATGTGCCCCATTTTCTGTGGCCCTACGCGGTTTGCTGCGCCACCCACCAGCTGAACCTCTCGCCTCGTGTTTCACGACCAGGGGATTCACCGACTAGTCTTTGGACTAGTCCCCTTGTGCTACATCGGAGTTGCACGTCTGAGGCTGCGTTTGGTATATCCGTGACACATTTGCTGATAAGCTCTCGGCTCGAGCCATTCCCTGTGTCTTCCTTGGTTTCCCAAAGGACTCCTATAACTTTGCATTTTACCACCCGCCCCTCCATCGGTTCCTATACACCCGTGACGTCCAGTTTGACGAGTCTGTGTCTTACTACACCCGGTACCTCTGTCAAGGTCTCCCAGTTCCTCCCCCTCCTCTTTTCCTCGCCCCCTCTCCTCCTCCTGTTCCCGCTCCTCCGGTACCCCAGCCCCCCCCTGGTCCTACCCCGTCAGGTTTGTCTCACGCTACCCCTCTACCCGCAGTCGCGTGTCAGTTAGCGTCTCCCTCCCCGCAGTCCTCCTCATAGTCCCCTCAGCTACCATCGGCACTTCCGCGAAGTGTTATTGTGGACTCAGGGGGTGTTGGGGATGGAGGTGCTCGTTCAGGGGGTTCTTGTTTTGGGGGTGTTGGAGCTGGTGGTGCTGGCACTGGAGGTGCTGGAGCTGGAGGTTCTGGAGCTGGAGGTGCTAGAGCTGGTGATACTGGAGCTGGAGGTGCTGGCACTAGAGGTGCTAGTTCAGGAGGTGCTGGTCCTCGAGTTTCTGACCTTGGAGGTTGTGGTTCTGGAATTGCTGGCACTGGAGGTGCTAGCTCTGAGGGGGTTGAAGCTCGAGGCACTTCTACTTTGACGCCCTCTTCGCATCCCCACCGTCACCACACATGTTACCAGGCTGCTTCTAGGCTTGTGCAAGGAGCAGGAGAGGTTGGCGCAGAAGAGGCAGGAGCTGCAGCAGCTAGACCAGCAGGAGCAGCAGTAGTGACAGCCGCAATAGCAGCTGCAGCTGCAGCAGCAACAGCCGCCGCAGCAGCCCCTTTTGCAGTAGATGTTCCCACCCATGAGTGGCCTTCGGGCCCTTGGTCTTCCCTCTTCTACTCCTGTCTGCACACTCTCTCCTGCCTTCGGACCTCCTTTTCCAACTCCGAATGCATCACCTGCTGTTTCCTCTTCTCCTTGGTCCCCATCTCCTCTCATTGTCCCGCACTCCCGCATCCGTCCCTTTCCCCCGCGTGCTCGTCCCTCGTCTTCCTTTGACGACCTCCGCACTGCGCTCCTTTGTTCTAGTTGTCGTCGTTTTCTGCCTGCATCTGTTATCCCATCTCATCCTGAGTCGTCTCTCCCTGTCTCCTCTACTCCTTTCTCTAACTACTACCATGCTGTTCTTCCTATATTCCTGCATGTACTCACCTCTCTTATCACTGACCCTCGTTCCTCTTCGTCGTCTGTCTCGGCTTTTATTGCCGATGTTGCTGACTTTGCTGCCACCCGCCACCTTGACTTCCCCACGCGTGTAGTGGCTGCTCTGCCTGCCCGTCCTTTGTTCTCCGGGGGTGAGTTTTGTTGATTGTGTAGGTGATTGTGGTATTTTGCTCTAGCTGGTCGTGGGCTAAGGGTTTGGGCAAAATGTGCTTGCTAGACTTGTTGCGGGCTGGAATTGATCTCTAACCCAACAAGCATCAACAAACCTTTGCTATTCACCACCACACCTTTAATGTTGCTGATTTGGCGCTTTGGGTTGTTGGGGATTGTTGTAGGGCGATCAACTTGTCACTTTGCAGATCTGAACTCTTGCTAAAGCTACTTTCTTGATCGAATCCATGGCTACTTTCGTCAGGATACCCCGTCGCACTTAAATCGTGATAGCGATCGCCCTAGGTCTTCGATGAAGGCATGCGTTACCATTATGGAAATAAGAGATTAAGACCTTTCCAACTTGTGCTTGCTCATAGTTGAAGGTTACGTGAGATGCACGCAATGTTCCGTCAAAATCGGCAGACTTAACCTCCTGTTACGCTCTCCAGATTCGCACACTTTATATCAGTGGTATCAGAGCTGGTTAGGCCCACGACATTCCCTCTTTTCATGATTGGTTGGTCATGGCCCAGAAATAAGATGGCCCTCCTAGATTCACCGTCTCGGATTTTTCGCTATGGCGGTTCCAGTTTACGCTTTTGCTAGGTATAAAAGACCTAGAAGGCGCTTTGGAGGGATCGGAGCGAAGACATGGAGCTGATGAAGCAGAGGCATCTGCTGGAGTGTCTAACCAAGAGGGAGCAGGGGCTGGGGGAGCCTGTAGCTCATGTATTATTGAGGGAAGTGGAGGTGGATCAGCAGCACCGCGAACCGGAAGGCAACGACTTAGTGCGGAGGAGCTACTTAAGGCACAGGAAGCATGGGACCGCAAGGACAAGAAAGCGTTCTAGTACCTGTGTTGGGCTTTGGAAGGTCAAATAGAGCCCCTAAAGATGCTGATTGACCTGAAGGGGAAGCAAGGAGCAGCTGCCCAAGCATGGAAGAGAGTTCAAGATCGACATTTGCAAAAAGGGTTGCTAAGCATACTCACTTGGAGGAAGCGGTTCTACACCATGGAACGCAACTATGGTGATGGAGTGACCATGGTGCAGTATCTCCAGAGGGTGGATGAGTATGTGAGGGCCTTGGAGGAGTTGAACTACAAAGTATATGAGAAGGAGATTATCTACACCGCTCTCCAGGGGCTTGACCAAGAGGCGAACGAGGCCCTACTTCAGTACCTTCACCTTGAGCAGCAGAAATGTACCAAGGCCTGGATATGAGAGGTGCTGGTTTCTGATGAGGCTCGCAAGAGTGATGCTGGTAGAGGAGTTGAAGGGGGAATGGGGGCAGGTGATAGGGCTGCCTCCAAGAAGTACCATCTGCGGCAAGGAGGTGGGGGGAAGAAGAAGGTGATAGACAAGTGCCTCATCCCTGGATGCAACCGGAAGCACTCTTGGAAGGAGTGTTGGAGCCAACCAGATGGGTGGAAGCCTTAAGGGTGAGGAGAGGAGGATGAAGAATGGAGCATGGAACAAGAAGGGCAGCAAAGAGAAAGCAGCAGCAGCGGCAACAAACGAGGACAAGAAGGGAAAGGAGGACTCATCGGATGATGGTTTCCCCTTCTTATCCTTGGAGGAGACGGCACTTGTTGGTCGTGTGTTGGCTGACCCCAATCAGCTCATTCTAGACTCTGGGGCAACCTGTGGAATGGTACCTCGGCGCGACTTCTTCATCACCTATCATTCCCTCCCACCTAACTCCAGAAATGTGATTGTGGGGAGCGGAGATACACTTCAAGCAAATGGCATTGGTACCATCACATCAAGGGGAAGGAGGGAGAGGTGCTGAATGTGAAGGGTGTGCTTCATGTTTCTGGATTGGCAACCAACCTCCTCTCATGCTCTCAACTTGCTTGGCAAAGATGCACCTTGACTGTGGATGGGTGCACAGTTAGCAAGGGTGGAGCTGTGGTGATGGAGGCCAAGTTAGACAAGGGTTTATACATTGTTCGAGTGTGTATGCCTCAGGTGGAGAGGGCACATGGGGATGAAGCTGAGGAAGCCACTTCTAGCACCCGCGGAAGGACGTGGAGCAGGTGACGGCGGATTTGCTGCACCTACGCATGGGGCATGCGGGAAAGCAACAGTTTGTGGAGTGTGTGAAGAAGGGGGAGCTGAAGGGTGTGGAGATCAAGGAGGGTGGTGGGCCGCTAAGCAAGTGCCCTGATTCCACGACCGGGAAGCTGCCAAGGACCTCTTTCCCTACCTCCACCACTAGAGCCTTCGCACCTCTTGAGTTGGTGCACACGGATGTATGTGGCCCTATGCAAACACCGGATAGGGAGAAGGGCAGCAAGTACCTCATCACCTGTCTGGATGACTACAACCGCCTCAGTTGGGTCACCTTGGTGAAACACAAGGATGAGGGGGCCAAAGCTTTGGATATGCTATGTGGAGAGGGAAGCCAGGGCCAAGGTGAAAATACTTAGGTCTGATTGGGGTGGGGAATACATGGGGAAGGATTTGGAGTCTTTCCTTGAAGACAAGGGCATCACCCACCAACTTTCAGTTGCCTACATGCCGCAGCAAAATGGGGCAGCAAAGAGGCTAAACAGGACCCTCATTGACCTTGCCCAAGCCATGCTTGCTCGTGCGCAGCTGGACCATACTTGGTAAGGGGCAGCAGTGCAATATGCCAACTGGGTTAAGAATTGGATGGGCAGCAAGGGGCTAGGGGGTAAGAGCACATACTTCATGTGGACCAGGAAGGTGCCTAGTGTGTCCATGGCACGAGTGTGGGCGTGCATGGTGCAGTACAAAGTGCCCGACCAGCAACGGAGGAAGCTGTATCCTAAGGCACAATGGGGCATTTTCCTTGGGGTGTTAGAGAGGAGCAAAGCTTGGATGTTGTGGAGTGTGGCGGATCAGCGGGTGGTGGAAAGCCGGGATGTGGTTTTTCACGAGGTGCTGAGCTAGAAGAGGTGGAAGGAGCATGGTGCTAGTACATTTGGGAGCTCCTTCCAGGATCCCTACACCTCGTCCATCTTTGAGGGGACATGGGAAGACCCAGGAGAGGAGGTAGAGGAGAAGCAGGAGGAACACAAGGCAGCTCCACCTCACCAAGAGGATTCCCCAACTGCTGGTTCCACCTCTGACCCTAACAAACCAGGCCATGGCCACAGCAGCCTCAACAGCAGCAGCAAGAGCAGCCGCAATAGCCACCGCAATAGCATTCACCGTCTGTTCCTGTGGCAAGATGGCAACAACTATTGCAGCAGCAGCTGTCCAAGTCACCACGGCCCCCCATGAAGAGAGTGAATTGGAAGGAGAAGCTGCAAAGTTTGGAGCAGGGGGAGGCATCACCTGTGAACCGCACCACACGTATCTCCTCGACACCTGAAAGGTTCACACCAAGTGCACACTATGCTTGCATGCATGATCATGAGGTGCATGATTTGGAAGAGTGCATGCTTGTGGATGCTGAGAGGGGTGAGGTTGGGCTTGATTTCTGCCTCATGGGCCAGATGCATGAGCCTAAGTCCGTCAAGGAGGCCTTGTCCCGTCCTGAGTGGGTCGAGTCCATGCGTGAGGAGCTTGAGTCTCATAGGGTATACGAATCCTTTAAGCTCGTTGATCCAGCTTGTGTGCCACCTAGAATGTCTTGAGGTGTCAATGGGTGTGGAAGTATAAGCACATGGCTGATGGGAGTATTGAGAGGCCTAAGTCCAGGTTGGTGGTCATGGGGAACACTCAAACACAAGGTGTTCACTACCGAAGCGAGGCCGGAGTTTGGATGGGAGGTGAGACATGTTCAAGTTGCGCGTGTCAAGAAGCACCTGATCTTTGACTGCTACTGAGTGATCTCGTCGCTGACGATCGGCATACTGCTTCTGGGAGGTCTGCATCGTGATGAGTCGTCGCTGAGTCTTCTCCCATAGCTGCTGCATAGTGGTGACAAAGTCGTGTGCGGCTTGGACGTGTGCTGGCGTGGTTGGCTGCTGTGGTGTGAGTGGTTCCCGTCCGTAACACAGGAAGGAAGGATTTTTCCCTGTGGCCGCATGTGACGCGTTGTTGTAAGCGAACTCTAGGGTCGGTAACTGTGTGTCCCAATGGCTGACGTCATCTTTGCAAGCTGTGCGCAGTAACTGTTCAACCACCTGATTGAGTCACTCGGTCTGTCCATCAGTTTGTGGGTGGTATACTGAGGACATCGCAAGTTTAGTCCCCAATAATCCCATGAGCTCCTTTCCGAACTTACTCGTGAATTTGGGGTCTCTGTCTGAGATGAGTGTAGCGGGGATGCCGTGGATGGTGATGATGCGGTCGAAGAAGAGGCGAGCAGTTGCTTCAGCTGTAGCTGTGGCGCTGGTCGGTATGAAGTGACCCATTTTGGAGAATTTATCGATGACCACGAGGATGGAATCATGTCCTCGTGAGGTCGAAGGAAATCTGTAATGAAGTCAAGGCTAACGACCTGCCATGGCTCCTCCGGTACAGGCAGAGGTTGAAGTAACCCTGCTTTTGCCTGCTTGCTGCTCTTCATCCGCTGGCACGTGTCGCAAGAGGTGACGAACTGCTGCACGTCTACTGCCATCCCAGGCCAGTAGTAATACTTCGCTATCCCTGCTAACATCTTCTTGCTCCCGAAATGTCCCGCGTAAGGTACGTCGTGAAACTCCTCCAATAGGATCTGCCGTAGCGGGGCGTAATTCGGTACCCAAATCTTTCTTGAACCCTTCC